TTTAAAAATTGGTATATATTGTTGTAAATACAAAAGAGCTCAAAATATCAAATAAGAAAATACCTAAATAAAAAAAGGTTTACTGTTATTTAGTTTGGTTCAAAACTTACAAAATCTTCATTGCATTCACTGTAATTTATTTTTTATTATTATTTAGGGAGCATTATAAATAGTTATGTTTTTAAAAGAAAAACTACTATTGTTATAAATAACATATTAAATTGAACTAAACTGTGCATGTCTATTTAAATATATTTATACATGGCTTGTGTATATCGTATATATATTATTCATACCTTCGGTGTATAGGACGCAAGCAGATTTTGACATCAAATTTTGGGGTAAAAAAGTGCGTCTTATACACCGAAAAATACGGTACTTATTTTTTTTACCACATGTTTCGTTTTTAAGTTTTTTAAAGGTATAATGAACTGTTTTTTACACCCTAGAAGAAGCTACCGAGTAAAAAAAAACGTGGGTTAATAAAATAATTGTTTCCTAAAGTTGTAAGGTCGTTATCTTTTTTGAAACAGTGGTGAAAAATTTTAGTTTAAAAAATATTCTTCGTTCAGATTTTTTACAAACTATGTGACATATATTTTTTATATTTAGTTATTGTACTGATTTTCAATTATATATCTTGAAAATGTATTTAAAAAGTACAGAATAAAGAGGAAGGATCCTCGAAAAATTATAGGAAAGTTATATAGAATGTGGAACAAAGAACAGATTGATATTTACTTTATGTTACATAGTTGTAACATTAATGGGACCTCCTATTACATTATGTAAGACATATTTATATCATAAACATGGTTCATGTTTGCTTCTACTGATTTTTGAAATAATATACTTTCAATGTGTGAAAGTAATAACATACCATTGAGCTACTCTTATCGAATAGAGGAATTTGACCGTCGCTCTTGTACCCACGGCTCTAAAGTGCGAGCGCGATGTTTCGGTAATCGGACACGAACCATGGTACCTCATATTCAGAGACCAAATCCTCAATCACCAGGCCACACCAAGACCGTTAAAAAAATTAAAATTTTTAACCATATTGGTAATAAAAACACTACACTGTAATAAACAATCAAAATCTAGTATGAATCTATTAGTTCTTTACTAGAGTGTTTATATACGTTTAGAGAAAATAAAATCGTACGTAAGGTGTTTATCATCTGTATCTGCCTAACAGCTAGCTTAATTTTGATTAATATTATTTAATATATTATTTAAATATATGTTGTTTTTTGTACAATTTTGCATAGCGGCGCAGTTGCTATAGTAGCAGATGCAAACAAAGAACACACTCAACTGTGATAAGAGACGTTATATACGTTTAACAAACACACGAAAGGTAACTGCAATATTAGTTTTTCATTTGTTATTTTTCTTTTTTATTCCGTATTTTAAAATTAAAGTATTCTCTAACAATTCACCAAAATATCTAAATATAAGATTTATAGCTAAAGTAATATCTTGGTAGTGACAATAGTGTACATTACGCTGTAACTGTAAGTCTATTTTAAGATAAAAATATTTTCACTCGCTCTCACGTTACTGTGTTGGGTGTAATAATGCTTTGTGTTTATACCTTTACCGTAAGTGTAATAAAGAAAATGGTATTATATTACTATCGCTGTACTGTAATTGAAAGAACGCTACTATGTATATTATACTATAACAGTATAAGCTATATGTTATAAGTTATATAATGAAATATATTATATTATCTTTTTGTACTTTTTAAGTTATACGGTGACATATATTTTTCTCAGGATGTGGGGGTAGCAGCAAGGGACGGGAATTGAGTGGATAAGGAATTTCGTTTAGATTTTTTTTCTTTTTTTTTTTTTGTAAAACGAGGCAACTATGTTTAAGGTGTGTTCTTTACTGTAGAAATATCATTATTCTTATTTAAATAACAGACTGATATTTACCTATTCTGATAGCTTGGTTTTGTTGGCACTGTATTAATTTAATTTCTAGTTACTCTGTTACTGCATTATACAACAAACTTTATGTAAACTTTGTATATAAGCGAAATTGAATGCAAGTTGCAATCGTTTAATATTCCCGCGATTTTACGAAGGTGGCTTATTCTCTTGGCCCCCCAGTGGCACAGCGGGGACTTACAACGCTAGAAACCGGGTTTCGATACCCGTGGTAGGCAGAGCACAGATAGCCCATTGTGTAGCTTTGTGCTTATTTCCAAACAAACAAACAAACTTATTCTCTGACTTAATTTGTTAATGATAATAGTAAAAGTATTACATGCAGGGGTGTGGTGCTTATGGAGCACAGCTCCGGCTTACGTTGAAGGAAGCTGAGTTGCTTGTATTCTCTCGGTAATATATGCTTATAAATAGGGGAGAAAATTATAATTTTAACGGAAAGTAGGAATCATTGGTTATTTGTAGAATTACTATAAGAAGTATCCAAAACAAAATAAATGCTGCAATAAAAAGTACACAAACAATAAGAATGATCAAACATACTATTGGTGTGCTTTGTAGTCACTATGAGAAAAACCTATGCACTGGATAGGTGAAATGGAGAAAAAGTGTCATTGGCTACTATTCAGTTCTTCACATTATATAGCCGCACAATAGTAGATATAATTAATAAACTTAGTAATAAGAAAATTGTTTAATCCCGAAGTCTAAGTTCAAGGGAGGTCCAGTTCAATCTACACTTTGATCAACGGGTGTTATTGGGTTAAACTAGTTTCGGAGAATTCCACTACTCATCAGTAACCCTGAAATATAAAAATAAATTAATATACCGTCTAAATTAATGATCAATTATACTTTATACATATAAAGAATAAATATTAAATATACTATTATAAATAAATAAATACAAAGAACGATTTATATACAAGAGTATTAAAAAATTATGAATTTTAAAATGAAGTAAGGATCCCTGCTATAAAAAGTAATAAAACAAGAATTAAAACCACAATCACAAATTTATATAATTTAATCCTTACTTTGGCCTGCATATATAAAACTGCCAAAGTGGGGATTAATTTTTTTAAATTTCTGATTGTGGTTTTAATTCTTGTTTCATTGCTTCTTATAGTAGGATCTTTACTTTATTTTAAAATCATAATTTTTTAATACTCTTGTTTCTTTGCTTTTTATAATAGGATCCCTACTTCATTTTAAAATTCATAATTTTTAATACTTTGTTTGCTTACTATTTATGTTATACCTGTATATCTCTATATTTTTAAACTGTCTCGTGTCCATCCATCGAGCCCCCCAGTGGCAGAGCGGTATGCCCGTGGTGGGTAGACCACAGATAGCCCATTGTGTAGCTTTGTGCTTAACTACAAACAAACAAACTATCCGTCGATATGTAACGTTATTGGATGGATTGAAAATATATTTAAGTACGTTTATGATCTATTTACCATTTATATCATAACTGGAAATGTGTATGGATTTTTATCGGAACATCAAAAGCGGATACCCGCAGATCAGTCAAGTTAGCTGGAAAATCTTGTAACGATCGTCCGAACCGTCTAGGCGCTAGGCCCGCTGACGTGATCTGGTAGGTAAGTAGTAGACAAAAAAGTTCCTGTTTTAGAAATTTTTAAATTGTTATACCAGAAATGTTAGCGACCTTTATAGCATATTATTAGTATATATATGTCCATAGTATATCGTAATCAATACCTTGAATGGTCGGTTTTTCGCATAGGAATTCGATAGGGTGTTTTTTTCGGCGTGTGAATTATTTGGAATCCTTGTCGATCCCTGCTATTAAATACTACTACCATACTTAAAATTCAGTTTAATACTAATGTACGTAGTCTCAAATAATTAGTGCTACACATATTTTCTTTGTCTAAAATGTTTGTTTTTTTGTTTTGTTTTTGAATTTCGCGCAAAGACTACACGAGGGCTATCTGCGCTAGCCGTCCCTAATTTAGTAGTGTAAGACTAGAGGGAAGGCAGCTAGTCATCACCACCCACCGCCAACTCTTG